TAAAAAAGCACAAAAAAATTAATTATTAAAAAAACACTATTAAAATGACAAAAATGCCCCTACTTTATTTGATGGATTATTTTGGGATACTTTGATGTGTTTTGTCTTGGGTCATTTTTGTTGAAGCTTGATAACGCTAAAATCACTATTCACTTTTTGTATTCTCTTTATATATAGAAGAAGATTTGGGACAATCATCTATTACACATGAACGGTTTTTTTTTAATTAAAATACAAATTTTTATTTTTAATACAACTATATATATTTACATTAAGGGTGAAAAGATTTGTGTTAATTAATTTACAAATTGACATTCACTAATTTTCTTGTTTAGATTCATAAATATAGAAATTTAGAATTTTTGCGTGAAAAAAAAACTTGGAATTTTGGGATCTCCAATTCCCAAGTTTAAATTTCATGTAAATATGTGTTATTTCCTAATTTCTATGATTAAGAGTTTAAAAATAACAAATTCTGCATTCAATTCCATTATTCTTTTATATTAATCAAATAAGAAAATTCACAAATTCTAAAAAATAAAATCCCGTCATTTTAAAATTCCTTAATAATCTTAAATTTCTTCATCCAAACATAATGTTAATTTTCAAAATTTAATCTACACATTTAATAGCATTACCCTACCAAAAAATATGAAGAAGAAAAAGAAAAGTACCAAAAAACGGGGTCAAAAGCATTTTTTTTTAATTTTAAATTGAAAAAATAGAAGAAAAAAACGTACTGTGATCCCTTTCGCGTTCTCAATTCTCAGACCTAATCGCCTCTGCGTCCGGCAAACGCTTTCTCTCTCTCTCTCTACTCGTTGTTTGGATTTTGGGTTTGAGAGCTTGCAACAATGGTGAGAGGATTACTGAAGCAGCTGACCTTCCGCTCTCTCTCCGTCGCCGGAAAATGGCAGCAGCAACAGCTCCGCCGCCTCAACATCCACGAGTATCAGGTATCTCTCTCACACTCTCTCTGTCTTTGCATATTTCACTCGCACTTACAGTGACAACCAAACTCTCATATCTAGCAGTCGCCGATCTGTTTCTGTTTTAATCCCCCATAAACACTGGTAAATTAAAAAAGACACTATTTTTTTTCCCCATTTTGCGATAATATTTATTTGTTTGATTTCGATAGTTCATATAATTTTGCAAAGCTAACAGTACTGATCAGTGAAAAAAAATAGAACTTGTGTGCTATATTTTATATGATGTACGTATAAATGCCAAATGTTCGTTGTTCATATCCATGAAGTGGTTGGGTTGGATTGTATTTGTGTGAGAATGTTGTTTGAAGTTTGATGATGAATGGCATTCGTTTTTGGTTGAGATCAGGGGGCTGAATTGATGAGCAAATACGGGGTCAATGTCCCAAAAGGTGTTGCGGCTGGTTCCGTCGATGAAGTCAAAAAGGCAATTCAGGATGTATTCCCCAAGGAAAGTGAGGTAATCATTGGAGATCATAGTCTTTTCATATTCAAATTTATGAATCCCCAGCTTGCAATTGGCAAATAAAACAGTGAAAGTTTGAAATTTGTTTCTCGTTATATCTTATTTTCTAAGAAAATTACCATAGTGGCCTAAAAGTAGAAATGCTAACTTGAGTTTTTGTGCAGTTGGTGGTTAAAAGCCAAGTCTTGGCTGGTGGAAGAGGCTTGGGAACGTTTAAAAATGGTCTCAAGGGCGGTGTTCACATTGTCCCGACCAACCAAGCTGAAGATATCGCTGGTATTAAAAACCATAATTGCTAAATATGATTGGATTTTCCTGGCTTTATTCTTTTCTTTTCCTTCAAGATTTGGTTTCACATTCATTAACCATTGATTGACAATATCAACATGGGCTTTCGTACAAATAACTAGCAGTCCCTGGGTTGATTTGTTTCATTTGCATTCCTGATTGGCCCTCAAGCAATGCATGCATGTTAGGTTACAATAATTCTGTGATAGTGTTTTTGTACAATTAGTGTTCTATATGATTCAGGCAGTTGCAGCTTATTAAGATGTGGTTCCGCTTTGTCCTTTTGTGATGCTTATTTATCTCCATTTTATACTTCTCATGCAGGCAAGATGCTTGGGCAAATTCTTGTTACCAAACAAACAGGTCCTCAGGGAAAAATTGTCAGCAAGGTTGGCATAGCAATTTGTTTCAAGTTGTCCATTCATATTAACTTGTGGCAATTATTCCTGCACAATGGTTCCCGAGCTTTCACTTTTATATTAAAACTTGGAATCTTTGTTGCTCCAAACTTTCACTTTTACTTTATGTGAAATGATGCTTGGTGCTAAGAATTCCCAAGCCTCAATACTTTTTGGAATTTGTACATCACAACTTCGTTTTTTACTTAGGTGGTCTCTTTCCTTTGCTTGTGCAGGTTTATTTGTGCCAAAAGTTGTCACTTGTCAATGAGATGTACTTTTCTATCATTCTGGATCGCAAATCGGCTGGCCCAGTATGTTTCAAACTCAGTTCTTTGTGTTTGCTGCAAATTACTGATTATGTTTTCCTATATCTTTGGTAACATAAGTTTTCGTCATGGTTGAGCTTGCTAAACTAAAGATGTTTAATATTTATTCCAATTTCCAGCTTATAATTGCCTGTGCAAAGGGTGGAACCAGCATTGAAGACCTTGCTGAGAAATTCCCTGATCAGATAATTAAGGTAGTCATCCTCATTCTTAGTTTGATGCTTTAGCACTACTCTTTCCTTTTCTATATAGTTATTTAACTAGTTTATCGTTGTTTTTTTGGTTTTTGTTGTTGATAGGTACCTATCGATGTTTTCACCGGAATTACAGATGAAGATGCTGCAAAGGTTGTTGATGGTTTGGCTCCAAAAGGGGCTGATAGGAATAGTTCAATCGATCAAGTGAAAAAATTATATAAGCTATTCAGTGAGACTGACTGTACATTGCTGGAAGTGAGTATAAACTTCTTGGTTCTAGTAATGTTACTATTTAAGCTTCCCAGTTCCAATATTCCATTTCACGTATTTGTCTGACCTTTGATTTTGGACAGATCAATCCACTTGCAGAGACTGCTGATAACCAGTTAGTAGCTGCTGATGCCAAGTTGAACTTTGACGACAATGCTGCTTATCGTCAGAAAGAGATATTTGCTCTACGTGATCCATCGCAGGAGGATCCCCGAGAGGTCTGTTTATGCTGTCCTTTTCAATGGATAATTATCTTTGTGTTCGACCCCATTTAAAGCTGATTATTATTATCATCTTATGCAAGTTCCATTGCCACTTATCATCCCATCTTTGTCTGTGTACAAATTTTGTTGGCATTATTCATCTTTGATTTATATGTATATGCAGTATGTGCATTTCAAATGTTATCAGAAGTTTCTCGAATCTTTTGCCAATTTGTAGTGGAATTTACTATTTCTGAATTTCTAATCATGACCTGGGTTCGTCACTTTTGTACACGCCCTTGTAAAATCCGGGTCAGCTTTTAATTGGTATTCCTGATCCCCACCTGTATTAGGTATGGAGGAAGGTGGGGGCTAATTAACACGGATAACTAAAGTTTCCATATTGTCTGATAGAATATAATATTTCATAAATCATTATGAAGCCCAAATGCCACCCATGAGTTTGTATGTAGGAGATGTTTTGTCTAGGTAGTTATAGGTGATCCCATACATGTACAACAGTGCACCCTGTGTTTACTTATTTTTGTCCCCTCTTTTACCGTGCCACAGGTGGCTGCTGCCAAAGCAAATTTGAATTATATTGGCTTAGATGGGGAGATTGGTTGCATGGTGAATGGTGCAGGATTAGCTATGGCTACAATGGATATCATTAAATTACATGGCGGAACTCCTGCCAATTTTCTCGATGTAGGCGGAAATGCTTCGGAAAACCAGGTAATGATGTAGTTATAGGATTTGATGAACTGCTTGTCGGACCTTTCTTTTCCCCACTGATGTCATCAGGTCTCTTTCTAAACAGTTTTATTCTCGTATTTGGTATGAGGATCTATTTTATGTCCAACTTTAGTACGCCTTTGGGTTTTAGATGGTTTACTAGATTGTGAAGTGGTACATGCACATCGGAGTGCGATTTCATATTTGGAATATTAGTTTTCATTGTTCTTGTTATTGTTAAAGAAAATGACAATGCCTTAAAGCCCTTACGAAACCCGAATTGCTTTTCTTTCTTTAATTCTAGATTATGTGAAACAGGTTGTTGAGGCATTTAAGATTTTGACTTCTGATGAGAAGGTGAAGGCGATTTTGGTCAATATCTTTGGTGGAATAATGAAATGTGATGTGATTGCAAGTGGAATTGTCAATGCTGCTAAACAGGTCAGCAATGATGTTCTGGGGATTTATCCCCCGCAAATTAATTACCATGTTTTGGGACAGTCATTCCTGGTTGTTCCATTTTACTTTATCTTTGTTTCACTTCCAAGTGAAATGTCATTTTGAATTACCCCTAAGAAGAGATTGAATAACCACTGCGGGGAGATACAATTCGGCACTTCCTATGAGGGAAGGACTGGAAATTTTTCTTGTGTATTCAGCTCATAAACTGAAAAAGTTTAACAGCTTTGTGTAATTGTATGGCCACAATCTTGTTTTGTTGAAGCATTAGCATTTGTTCATCCTTGTTCAAGGTTAAACTAGAAGTGCCAGTGGTTGTTCGTCTTGAAGGTACCAATGTCGACCAAGGAAAGACGATTCTCAAGGTACCATTTCGAAACTAAAACTATCGGTTCCAGGTATGAAAAAATCAGCGAAGATAAAATGGAATGTTTACTGTCTGTTAATGGCTGTGCAGGAAAGTGGAATGGCACTAATTACAGCCGAAGATTTGGACGATGCTGCTGATAAAGCGGTTAAAGCACTGAAGAAATAGATCCTTCAATTCTCTTCCAAGTTACATGTCGATATGATTCTTACGCGACACTGATGTGCTCTGCTTGGTGTTTATATGTGAAATTACATAAAACACCACCTGTGCGTAGTTTTAGCAAAAAATTGAAATTGTTTGAAGAGAAGTTCTGAGGCTGTTTCTGTCAAAAAGGAATTTTCAATAATACAGCTTTCTTCAAATTTATTCACCTATGCACCGGAGTTTGAATCCCCCTTCTTGTAGTATAGATTAACTTTGAGCAAAACAACCGCTCGATTTTTATTCTAGAGGTGCAAATATTATGCGTTGAGATTTATTTTTATATTTTGGGGCTTCTATAAGCACCAAGAAAATATAATTACTAAGATATATATTTTTGTTTCTCCAAAGATTGTGCAATCCTCTTGGAAATGCAATAAGCAGTGGATTCAATGGTGATCATTGGATTCACACCAACTGCAGTTGGAAGCAAACTTCCGTCGCAAACAAACAGCCCTTTTGCCTCCCAACTCTCACCATTTTCATCAACTCCTCCTTCCTCCTCAGTAGCCCCCATTCTGCAACTCCCCATCTGATGAGCTGATGAGTAAGTTGTCCACAGCTCCTCCCTCGCACTCGGCCCTGCAGCGGCAACAACCGTGTCCAAAAACACCTCCAAATCCTCCTCTTCAACCCCCTTGCATTTTATCCTCTGCCCATCGTTCCGATAGGTCCCCACTTCAACAGCTCCTGCTGCAATCAGGATCCTCAGAGTCTGCCTTAGCCCTACTTGAAGATTTTCTTTGTCCAATTGGTCTAATGTGTAGTGGATCCTCCCTTCTCGCTTAACCGCCCCTGAACCGCGGTCTCTCACTAGTGCAAACAGGTTAGCTGTTCTTGCATACTTCTCCATCGTGTCCTTCATGTCAAGCCTTGAAGTCCATGGAAACAATGTGGAAAACGTGGCCGGCCCGACCGCAGCAGTCTCAATGATCGTGCGCACGTTCGCAGTCCCAGAAACCACTTTGTGGAGTGAAGTGATGATCCCTCCCTCGTAACTTTTGCCTTTAAACTCCGGTTCGTGTTCCGGAAAGTATCCCCAAGCCAGCAGAACAGGGTGAAGGTGGAGGTTCCGGCCAATATTCCGATTCTTAAGTCCACTGGAGATCATTAAAGGAGGAGTCAAGAGAGACCCACATGCTGAGATTGTCACGTTTGCCTCGATTTGCAGCTTCCTTTTTATGTTCTTGCTCAGAGATGTCGCTTGCACCCCAAGGCATTGCTTTCGTATACCTCCTTCATTGTCATTCTCAAGTATAAACTTCTCAGCTTTGCATCCTGTTAAAATCACGGCACCAAATTTCACAGCATCGACTAGCCAAGTCGAATCAGTCCCTTTCTTGTCCCCTGTCGGACAACCATAATTGCAAAATCCGCAGTAATGATCCGCGGACGAGTTCCTTGGAACTGCATCAACTTTCAGACCAAGATTTTCGCACCCTTTTCGCAGAATTTGATTTGGGAAATTTTCTTCGGTGCAACTCTCCGTGACACCGATCCTCTTACACACAATATCCATGGCAGATTTGTAATCCTCGCTTGCATAAAGCGGAATCTTATGATCCACAGACCAGTCACGAAGAACATTATCTGGCGTTTTGATAGATGCTGACCAATTTACAGCAGAGCCTCCTCCAACTGTTGAACCGGCTAAAATCATTACCATCCCATCAACCGATGACAGAATTCCACCCGATTCGTATAACTCATTCATCGAAGGGCCTTCTAGAGAAGAGTAATCTTTCGGCACGAAGTAGTTCCCTTTCTCAAGAACGACCACTTTTTGGCCAGATTGAGCAAGAACTGCCGCTGCAACTCCTCCTCCACAACCCGAACCAACAATGACAACATCACATTTGATCTTGTGGATATTGTTTACTGCATCGTCCGCGAGATCGAGGCCTTTCTTCGTGAGAGATTCAACGAGGGTAGAATCGCTTTCGTAAGCGGTTTCTATGATTCCCTTTTCAAGAGGTCTCTCCTTTGGAGTTTTGATCAACTTTTCTTTCCTGTCTAATTCGTATCCAATCGCTTTCCATGCCGGGTTTCTTGAATTCTCATCAACCTGCAAACCAACGGGCAAGAGTCAGAACGGAAACTTCAATTCCCAATGGGAGAGTGAGATAGATGGAACAAGGATCAATATATTTTTCTAGCTTCACATCTTTTTATCAGAGTGCACTAGTATGAATATTTGTTTCTTTTTGGGAGCCAAAATGGTCATTTATGATTGGCATAACTCATCACTTTGGTTCAGATTTAAAATCGATTGAACTAGTACATGAGTTTGTACACCTTTACTCATTTTGGTCATTCCGTGAAAAATCTCCATTAAATAAGGATCAAAATGATAAAAATACCCTCAATTTTTGTCTAATCATTTTGGCCCATTGTTTATTAAATTGATTTTTGTCATTTTAGTCATTATTTAACACAGATTTTTCACAGAATAACCAAAATGATTGACGTCAAATCTTAGGAACCAAATCAGGAGACCATTTTGGCTAAAATGTCTTTTTATTTTTTGCCCGAGTATGATTTTGTTATAACAAAAAGAGAGATGCTACTAAACTAGTACCTAGTAGAAGATCATGCGCATATTATATATTTTAATCGCATAAATATCTAATTATTGAGAAAGACAACCTTATTTAAAATATAACTTTTTTTGTATGTATAGTATGTTTAAGCATATACATAAAATTAAAAAATAAAAAGAACTTTGCAGATCAGACATGCAGATACTGTAAATCGTCTCACATTATCGTTACAAGAGACCAACAGAAATGTAGTAAAGTCCGCACTTGAATTAAAAAATGGACTGCAATCCCTACTCGTTTGGCCTAAGTAATTATTTAAAAAATCATTTTCGTGTGTTAACAAACTAAAGAAGCAGAAGTTGAGTCAAAGGAGGGAGTATGAAAGTATATGAGTTAACAATATTGTCCATTTTCTTCGGCTTATATTCAAAGCCACGAGGGACGAAACCAACAGATAACATAAAGTAGCTAAATTATCACCTGTCAATTCCCCAAAATATTGGCAAATGATAAAGGTTAAAACTCACATGCTGGACAAGAGGTAGTGGGTTGAGGATAGAAACTTACCTGTAGCCGAGCATTGGTATCTCAAACTATTAACCCACAGCATTGTCGTTAATTTAAAATGTTTTATTAGCTAAAGTAGTACCGAAATTCGCACAACTCCTTAGATGAATCTCTAAAATTTAAAATCAATAAAACTGGTCTTTGAGTTTGCTCACTCTCAATCATTTTGGTCATTTCGTAAAAAATATCCGTTAAATAAGGATAAAACAAAAAAAATTACCCTTAGTTTTTGTACAATCATTTTGATTTCAAATCTCCGGTATAAGTAAATTTTTACTGCAGTTATAAATAATTAGATGTAATGCAGCATTACCCTGGAGAAGAAGGTGTAGAAGCAGAACATCTTGACCACCATGAACATCAATCTGATTGTGATGACAAGCTTTTGCCTCGACCATTTCTTGAGGACTTGTTCTCTTTTGTCCAATGACATTTCAGCGAATTTGTGAATGAATGGCCATTTCCAGTCAAAGCAACATTTCCCACAGAGCAAAAATGTTCCTAATCTCAATGACAGCATCTTCAGAAATACCCTCACTCCACCCACCACTTCTGGTAGACTCCTCTTCACCATCAATTCTGCTACCTGTTTTACCAAACATTGAACCAATTAATTGAGAAAAATACTTGGCTTCGTATTTCTCGTCATAAAGAAAATTACAGTTTTATGTGTGTGCATAAATGTGTTTTGTTTTGTGTGATTTTAATGAGAAAATACTTGGCTCCGTATTTCTCATCACAAAAGAAATTACAGTTTTATGTGTGTGCATAAATGTGTTTTTTTTGGTGTGATTTTAACGAGAAAAATACTTGGCTCATTATCTTATCTTGAAAGTAGAAATCCCTACATCTACATGCATGCCCGATTTCAATTTGGCATGTATACATAATTATTCTTTTTGGTTTTTGATGAGTTATTGGTACATGTGTCGTCAATCTATGATTTGCAAAACGAAAAATGACTCATTTTAATTAAAGAAGTAGTCAAGCAATATCTTCTTTTTTATTTGTCAAAGGTATTAGATTAAATGTTAGATTAGTCACCGATGAAGTTTGAACTTACGCCGTCATGCAATGACTCAACACCTTTCCATTACTGTAGTAATGGGCCACTTGTGTCGAACAATATCTTTTGAATGAGTTAATGTTGCATACACATCATTCTGTAATTTATAAATAAAGAAATAATAATTCCTTACAAAAGAGTGTTTATTAATTTTGACCCAAGAAAAGAAAAACATAACAAGAAGTGTTGATAGGAACTCTCTCAAAGTGAAACTATTCATGAACTTCCTATCACCTCATAATTTAATATTAATTTTCGTATCATTATTATAAAATAATATATAAAAAACATAAAATCGTAAAGAGTCCATGCATGTGGGTCACTTATGAGAGAGTTACATATTTTCCCACATAACAAATTGAATATTTCACAAAAGAGAATGCTAGCCCATCATGCATGTGTATAATGTTTTTGGCAAATTGACTCGCCCACCACGTATATATCTGGCTTCAATTGATAGTGCTTCTTAGACCATATTCAAATGAGATGTCAAATTATAAGAGTTAAATTACAATTGATGATTGATATGGCATTCCGAAACCTTATGTCAAATTTTGTATTTTTCCAACCAAATTATCAAATGTTATTTTATTATTTAAATAAAGTTTTAAACGGTTATAATTATTAAAAAATTGTGGAAACAAAATTTTTATTCATTGAAATGTTAATGAAATAAGGGACCGCCATTAAAATAAATTAAAAACAAAATTTGATATTGATGTTAAATTTGACTTCAAATCACAAAGCTTTTTAAATCCAATCAGCAAATAATACTTTGGTTGAAGAAACTTTTAATGTCAAATATACACAAGACATTTCACCTAAAATTTTGACATCTCCTTTAAACATACTCTTAAGTTTCACTGTTAAAATAACTTAAGAAAAATACAATTTAAAAATATATTCTTATTCTCTTGCTCTTCCTCACCCATTTACATTCCTAATGAAACCAGAAGCACTGTAATTAAAAGCCAGATACACGTGGCTAGCATTCTTCTTTCAGGAATTAAAAAAAAAAAAAAGATAAATTAAGAGAATTATAATTAGCATCCTAAAATTCTTATTTGACATTCGAAAGTTTCTGTAATTAGAAAGAAAAATACATTTATGAGGAGTGTGAATGAAATTTTAGGAGTGTTAATACCAGTTTCTTAAATTAAAGCTTTCCTTTCCTATGAACTTGAATAGAAAACAGTGAAAGAGATAAGGAACTGACCTCATCTGGGATGGGAGGCTGAGAGGTAGAAGCTGTGTAGGAGGAGGAGGAGGAGGAGGAATGAAGGGGGTGGTGCTCATCTGGGATGTCCTCCGGTGAGAGAGGAGGTAAAAGAGCTTCACATATGGCAGCCAATGATTGGATTTGAGCTGAAGAGAAACCATGGCTGAATTTGCTTTCCCTCCATCCTCCTCTCAACAATGGATGACAACTGTTCTCTCCCCCCTCCATCTCTCTGTCTCTCTGTCTCCTCTCTCTCTCTCTCTCAGTGATAAGATTACTTTGGTGTTATTTTAAATGTTTTCCGCTTCATATTATATATGTATATATAGAGAGAGAGCATGTGACGTGTGGAAACAATGAAATAAGAATTTTTTTTGGGAATTATTATTATAAAAATTTAATTTTATATTTCTTATAAGTGTATTTTTCTTTCTAATTATAGAAAGTTTGAAGTGCAAAATAAAAATTTTAGTGTGCCAATAACAATTTCTTATTTTTTATCAAACATAAGCTTTGTTAATGGAAGAAAATGTACAAGAGATCAACTTAAAGATAATAATATAGAGACTAAATTTGTAGATTAAATTTTAAAACTAAAAGGACATAGAAGTTGATTATTGGTTTATTACTTACACGTTGATAAATATGATCATTTTTATTGGTGACACATTATTTAATTTATAAATTTAATTTATAAATTTAGTATCTCTGGTATTATCCTAAATTTAAATAAAAATTGCTAGTAGGCAGAGTGGACAAAAAGTTTTAAGCAAAACACGTAATAGTCTAATTAGACTGTATCGTTTGACACAAGTCATCATTGCCACAACCACTATGCATATTGCAATTAATATCCTATATACTAAAACTCAATTTTTGGGGCCACTATTGATAACCAATGGCCGGACGATTTTGCCGTTCAGTCTTTGCTATGTTTGCCTTGCTGTTTTCTCTTTGCTGCAGTGAAAAGTTGATTTGGATGAAGCTCTAATAATTTTGTTTTGGATTAGTTGTGGTCCTCTGTCAGGATTTTCGTGGCTAAGAGGGTATTTTGCGTTTTCATTTCTCGGTTGGTCGATCACTGATTTGCGAACAGCTCCAGTGGTCCTGTTATTTTTTTGGTATGTTTTTTCTCCTTTGGTTTTTTCCCGGTTTGAGCACTCATTCATGAATGTTGAATTAAAATGTGTTTATAGTTTTTCGGGAGAGATTAGAAAAGTTATTCGAATTTGGGAAAATTTAATGTTGGTTAAAATTTGTTTATAATTTTTGGGAAGGAATGAGAGGACCTGTTGAGGCATGTGTTGTGATTAGTTTTTATTCATATTTTTAACAAATTGGGCATGAATTGGTAGGTTAACTAGGGGTGTTTATTATTTGAATCGGTTTCGTTTGTCTTTCTATGGTTCTAAATATTTTGTACAGGTTGTTTGGCCATTATTTGTGCCTCTTGATTCTGTTGTGTTTGCCTAGGCTTCAACATGAAATATGTTTGGTTGGGAAAGGATTGGTGAGATAAAAAATTATTAATAGATTATGCAAGTTGTTTCAATGGGAGATGAAAGTGTCTTTCCTTTTAGGTGATGGCATAGTTTTCGTTTGTTTAATTCTTCTGGTTGTTTCATTTGTTGTTCTAATATGAGGTTAAAATGCTTATACAAATACTTAACAACTTATGTAATAGATTGGATTGGTTAGATTATATAGAAAATTGATCCTCTCCAGATTCCTTCCACCTAAGCCTCATGATCCACAAATCCAGGCCATTGAAATTTGATCTAACGGCTACAAGCAGGGGGTCTCATTAAAAGTTATAATAACTTTAGGCGTTTTATCAAATTTCAAGGGCCTGGATTTGTGGGCCATGATGATTAGGTGAAAGGGATCCAGAGATGATCCCTTTCTGATTATATATATAGTTGTACTCATTTTTTATTTCTTTTTGTTCGTATATTTATGAGGAAATTAGAAACAAGTTCAAAGGTCTTGCCCTTTTTTCTTTTCTCAATATCTTTGATTCTATATCAAATTTTCTTCATAATTAATTCTCCTTTGTGAATGTTGATATTGTAGTTAAAAATCACACAAAGATCAAATAAGTAAAAATTATGGGTAAATTACACTTTCATACCTCAGGTTTGGGGTCTATTTCAATTCCTTACAACATCTTCAAAACATTTCACTTTCATACCTTAAGTACTATTTTATTTCAAAATAATACCTCTGTTACATTGTCCATCCATTGATCTGTTAAGTGCTGACGTGGCTGCAACATTTGTGCCACGTGGAAAAAAAGTTTTTTAATTTTTTTTAAAAAGCTTGAATTTTCTCAAAAAAGAAAAGAAAAAAGGAAACCCATCCCATCTCCCCGCAACCACCCCCCACAAACCCAGAACCCTTTATCCCCACCCACACCCGTCCAGCTCGTCTTCCCCCTTCTTCTCGACGACCCACCTGAGCCAGAACCCCGACCCTCCTTCCGCCGCACCCCCCACGACCTTCTCCCCACCCAAGAGACCTCATCCTTCTTTCCTCCCCCCCCCCAGCTCGACTCAACTCCATGCGTCCGACCTCGCCCAAAACCTAGATCCCGACCCCTACCATCTGCAACACCCACCCTCTTCTCCCTCCCCCATCCGTGCCCTGCTCGTTAGCAAGTCAATCGGCTCCAACAACAAGGTATGCATTTAATTTTGTCCTTCAAATTTTGAATTTTTTGGGTGCTTGGTTGGTGGTGGTCTGGATGGAGTTAGGTTTGCTAAGGGTGGGGGTGAAGAGGAGAAAGGACTCGGGGAAGGTGGGGGTGGGGTGGGGGTTTGTTGGGAGGTGAAGAGAGTGGAGGAGAGGGAGGTGAGTCCGGGGGGGGGGGGGGATGGGGGTTTAAGGTTTCTGGGTTTGTTTGCGGGGAGCTAGGTTTCAGTTTTTTTTTTTTTTTTTTTTAATTCTTTTTTCAGGTGGTTTTTTTTAATTAAAAATTTATTATTTTTGCCATGTTGGCAGCCACGTCAGTACTTAACGGATCAATGGATAAAAAATGTAACGGATGTATTATTTTGAAATAAAATAGTACTTGAGGTATGAAAGTGAAATGTTTTGAAGATGTTGTAAGGAATTGAAATAGATCCCAAACCTGAGGTATGAAAGGGTAATTTACCCAAAAATTATTCATGAGCTTTATAACCACTTTTTATAATTTAAGCAGTCTGTTTTGGGTTCTTTTTCATTAGGTCATTAGCTACTGATTAATGGAGAAACGAGGACCATGCCACTGATTATGGTTTCTTTTTCTAATTTTCAAATTTTGGGGTTTTGCAGGAAGTGCTGATATGCTGATTTTCTGGGATTTTTTTATCTTTGTAGGATTTTTGGTCTTTGAAATGGGTACGTGTTGTTTTTAATGTTTTGATTCTCGTGTGTTCTGTTCTTCATTGCTTCGTGATTCTAATTTTTCACACACAGCAAGTGGAGATGGATGTTTGAATAAAAAGAAGAGTTTGGCCAGGTAATTCAGTTTTCCAATAACTGGCATTTGGTTTTTTTAAATATTTATGCAGGGAGAAATGAGTTATATACTTTGAGTTCCTTACATTCTCATTACATGTTACCCAATTTAAAATTGTGACTCACATGAAAGTGGATATCGACAAGATTTGTGTGTTTTAAATTGTAGTGTCATGTTGGCATTATTGCTTATTTAAGAATGCAAGTCTATTTTACATCTATCTAATGTCTTTAATTTTGATCTCCATATTATTCAATGTTCACTAATGCCTTTAATTGTCCTCTGTTTTACATCTATCGAACTGATGACACCACGTCCACTGCACAAGCCCCAGAGAAAAATGTATCAGCTTTTGACTCAAATTCCAACTATGCCTCATCACTCTGAATACCAAAGCAACCCCAAGTAATTCTGGAATCATTTTTATCAGTTCCAAAATACAACATGTATAACTCAATCTCAAATTTGTTCATGCACAAACTTCGCATCAAATTCATAGTTTTTTATTGCTCGATGTTCCACATTACTCATTGTTTACTTATCTGTATACCTATCATTTTCCCAATCGCTGGTTGTACGTAAATGGCAAAAGAAATATCAAGCACAATTTCGTAAAAAGTTGTTTTTTGTGTTGCTTAGGTGCTTTGGTTCAATTGAGTTATGAGGGACCAATATTGATTCTTCACTATATGCTTGAAATTTTCAAAAAAGACAACTTGAGAGCTCAAGTTCGATTTTTTTTTTCTATTTAGTAGTGAACTAGCAATTGAGCTCTCGTGCAATGCCACGGGTTTTACGACCATTTTAAGATGATATTATTTTACATATAATATGTTTAGACTGAAAGAGATGATTTTAAAGTGTTATTTACAAAAGAGATTGTACTGTTTACAACCAGCTCAAATCACACTAATAGTCTGCTCTTTGAGCAAGTTTTTGATAAACCTGAACAGTAAAATGGACAAATCAATAGGTTGCAGGAGATGAATGAAATTTCAAATAGATTTACCATGAATGAATTAATGAAGAATCGACAGTAATACTAAACATGGTAGTCATACAGATTAGGAAGTCATCCATCTATAAGCCAATCCTTATAAGTTCATTCACTTGCACTATTCTTCTAGTGTTTGATAAAGAAAACGAAGTTCCTGTAAGTACTCCCCCATATAAGTAATAAAATCTTTTTAAAGGAATCCCAATTTTCTCCACATTAAGGAAAACCATAAAAGCATTACTAATGACTATATCTGCAAACCAAATCTCTTTTTTTGTACCCGCTAAAGTACACATATGAATATCAAAATGAAAGCCTCAAATTATTATAGTATTCCCTTTCTATGTTAATTTTTGAAAAAGAAAACACAATGGAAGAAAAAAATTCGACAATTTTATCTTAATTTCAAATTTTGTTGGTTTTTTATTCAGGTTGAACCAAAAACTCTCCAAGATTCTAGTTCTCTTAAAGACAGTTTTGAGGTAAATTTTAATTACATTTATTCCACATAGTGTACATTCTGAATACCTCTTCGACAAAATTTATGATCTAGGAAGCCCCTCGATAACTTTTGGCTTAGAAATGTCGCTCAACATATTTATTCAAGATTAGACAAATCAATCAACAAAATGACATCATCGTCAATGATTGATAGCTTTGGCAAGGATCTAGATCAAATCTGCTTCACAGGATATGATCATACTATAAATCACATATATGACAAATCAAAAGGTAACGATTTTTACACTCCTGTTGTCTATTTTATTTAATCTCCTCTAATTTGTTCAATCCAAAAAAAAAGTTTTTGGTCTATCTTATTTTCTTTTTATTCAATTTTCTTTTCTATGAAAAATATTAGTAACACTACTACAATATATGCTATCACCGTCGGAGCAAAAACCGACGAGAAATCCGATTTCTATCGCAATTTTTGCAAAAATGCGACATAAAACAATGTAATGTCGCATTTTCAAAGCGACACTATTGCTAGCGTCACGAAAGGGCTTTAGCGTCGGTTTCGTGGCTTAAACCGACACTAAAATTAACGTCGGTTTAAAGCGACGCATACTTACACGTTACGTCGCTTTAAGGCGACGTTCATTAGCAATTTAATTGTAAAATATAAATCCTACTGTCGCTTTTAAACGACACTGAAATAATATTAAATCAATTTAATATCCCATAAACCGACGTCAAATAACAATTAAATAAATAAAATATGAAAACGAATAACGGTCTTAACCGACACCACCTTTGTTAATAATAATAAAAAAACAGACAAACCGCATTCTTCTTCAATTCATTGTAACAGAAAAAATTTATATAATTATATTAATAAATTCCGAGGCCAAAATAAACATTAATGAAAATAATTAAAAAAAAAATAGTGCCAAAATACACAAATATTGTACATACATTAATGAAAATAATTAACAATAAAAATAGTGCCAAAATACACAAATATTGTACATCTAACGTTCCACTTAATGTACAAAAACTCATCCGTCATAACAACTACTAAATCCGACATTACAAACATAACATAAAAAAACAAAAAAGATAGAACGATTAAAGTGTCATATTTAACCAACAAGAAAGCGAACCAAATAAACTACGGAACCGAATCTGCGCCTGAACGTGGCACAGATCCTTCTCGTCCTTGAGGTCCTATATTTGATGTCAACATCCTCGACAAGTCCACATTAGATCCAACACCTGCAAGCATTTCAGCAAACCCCCTAGCTGGAAATTCGGGACAAGGAGCAGCCATCTCGGGTCGATATACTGGCACTTGATAAGGCGGCTCCTGCATGTAAGGCATGAGAGGCTGCTGCATGTATGGCATAGGCGGCTGCTGCATGTATGGCGTGGGCTGCATAGGCATCAGATACATAGGATACGGAGGTTGCTGATTATAGCCAGCATACGGATATGCAAGGGGTGGCTGACTTTGACCCGACTGTTGAGGAGGAGGAGGCTAACTCTGGCCTGACTGTTGGGTTCCCGGGCTATACAGTGGTTGTGGTTGTGGCTGAAATCTTTGGAAAAGCCACGCAAACATCTGACTTTGCTTGTTCTCTAGGTCCGAAATCCGTTTATTGTTATTTTTGTCCCTCAATTTCAACTCATTATTTTGAGTCATCAGCAATGCCATTGCACTGTTAGATGACCTCTTGGAGGAAATTGATGTAGAAGACGAAGAAGACGCATAGGACACCATATCAGGAGTCACCCTATGACCGTATCCTCTGACTCTATTATACCTCTCAGGACCCATTGTATCAACATACACTTGGGTCCTAAGATCTTCATTATCCTCTTGCCCCGACTGAATCAAAGTTTGTAGATTGCTCTCCATTGTTGCCTAGCATTACAATTTTTAAAAATAAAAATTCAATCGTAAAACAGAAAAATAAGCTATAGATAATAAAAATTAATAACAATGAAATACCAACACAGTAAAATAAATTACCCATGTACGCTCCGATTCTTCATCAATCCAAGTTTCATTTTTTCGTGTATGACATTCACGAAAAAAGGTTACAGGATCGGCTTCTTTCCCATGCTTCTTCCGCTTTACCAAAAATAAAATTTCACACAAACAATTTTAGGCAAACCTCGTTAAAATTAAAATTTATAACTATAGAACATTTAAAATAACATTTCTTCAAATTGTACAATCCATACATATTCTTGCCGCTTTCTTGCAAAAGATTTTGTACCAGTAGTATGGTTCATTGTTTTCTTTTGCCGATTAATCTTGTTTTTTTCAACAACCTCCTGAAAATAAAATAAAAAAAATTATTACATAAATTTATAGTTATAACGAAATAAACTACATCGTTTACCTTTGTTTTATCTCCACTCCAGTATGCCAACAAATTACCCCACTGGGTAGGATTCACATCAGGAGGAGACTGGTGACGCTCCTCTTCAGCTCTGTTGGTATAATACTTTTTTTTTAACTTATTTCTAAACTCCTTATGTGCATGCTCAGCAACCTTAAGCGTCATAAAGCGGATCAAAGGCAATCTTGGTATATCAGCATCTTCAAAAACAATATTTCCCTACATCCATAAAAAAAAAAAAAAAAATATCAACCAAGTCAAATATTATAACAATCATTGAATTATTCTTTTATTTTCTAATAAAAATAAAAATACCTATACCTTAGTTCTATTCCAGAAAGCTTCCTTATCTACATCCTTAATCTTATGCCAATGCTTCGCCAATGGGAGAATTCTGTGGTCTCTAACCTCCGATGCCACATATTTTGAAAATGCACTAGAGTTATCACTAACGCATTTTCCGGACATATCAAATGAACAAAGTTGTTTCGTCCATTTGGGAACTGAGGGTCCTCGCCTCCGTTGAGATGTTCCTTGTTCATACAAAAACCACAATTAAAACACACCAAAAAAGTTGGAAACAGATGTAAATTTTCAGTTTATAAGAATAATAAAAGATTAAACACAAAAAAAAAAAAAAAAACGAAACTAATAATAATATGGAAAAATAACCAGCTTCGACCTCCTCCTCTTCCACATGAAGTTCCTCATCATGTTGAGAATCACTACTACTATCCATAGCAAAACTAAAGGAATCACGGAAGAAATGCGGAATACAGAAGATGGAGAAGGAGAGGGAGTGAAATGAGGTAGTGAAGGGAGTGAAATGAGAGAGTGAAATGAGAGAGACGGAAATAGGTCGTAGAAGCTTAAATATGCCCAAAAACTTAGCGTTGAAATATGCAAACATTACGTCGCTTCAAAGCGACACAACCTCTGGCACACTTTTGACTGGCGTCGAAATAGGGTAATATTACGTCGCTTAAAACCGACGTTATAGTCTGACAGATTTACCTAGCGTCGAAATAGAGGACAATTGCGTCGGTTTGAACCGACGTTCTTCTGACAGACAGTAATTGCAGTGGCCTCGGAATTGGACGTGCGAATGAACCGAGGCATCGAAATAATAAATGCCTGCGTCGAAATAGGGGCATATTGCGTCGCTTAAAACCGACGTTATAGTCTGATAGATTTACCTAGCATCGAAATAGAGGACAATTGCGTCGGTTTGAACCGACGTTCTTCTGACAGACAGTAATTACAGTGGCCTCGGAATTGGACGTGCGAATGAACCAAGGCATCGAAATAATAAATGCCTGCGTCGAAACAATAACTGGTTGCGTCGGTTTTAACCGACGTATGAGACGAGGCGTTGAAATAATAAATGGTTGCGTCGAAATAATAAGTAGTGGCGTCGGTTTTAACCGACGCCACTACTTATTATTTCAACGCAACTATTTATTATTTCGATGCTTCGGTTCATTCGCACGTCCAATTCCACCCTAATTCTTCCAATCCATTTCCCCGTGCAAAAAAAATCGGGAAAATTCCCGCCCAACAAAAAAAAAGAGTTTAACTAAAAAATAAATGGAAACGCAGGAGAAAAAAAAATAGTTAAACCCAAAATTAAAAAATAAGTAGTTATGTTTGTGAATACGAAATTTTCCTGAAAC